AGATTTGGTCACAGTAAAGACTGCAAAAGATAGCGTCAAAATATTTATGTTTCATAGTGTGGTCATAAAGGGGAAGAAAAAGTAAACTGAAATGGTTTGAGCCATATATAAGATGGTGGACCTAAATATTTGGAGGTTGTTTTTGAGGTCAGAAAATGCTCACACATGTTATGATACTTCTGCAGCTGCCTCCCACATGGAAGAGTAAAATGTGGGCATTAACCCTTTATCACTCACTAGGACGTCCAAAGACAGAGAGGAAATCGTAAAGCTGTGTTTCAACATTTCTTCAGCACTGATGCTAAACTTACAAGCAAAAGACTTGCACATCAAAAGAATTATTTTCTAAATTTCTCACTTTTTTCCATCATAAGTAACCATACACAACCTTTAAAGGTATACAATTAGTTCCTATATTCAAAATGCAACAAGAAAAAGAAACATCAGATACAATATGCAACACTGAGAATACTGTCACTGGCTACTCGTTAGTCGCTAATGATGAAAGTTGGAATCTACTGTGAGTCTGGACCACATTTGATTGTCTCTGGTTTATTGTCTAAAACACATGAACTAGTTGAACCAGAATTGGACACATCTACACCAAATAGAGATTCTTTAAACAACAGTTTTGATTTGTGCAACCTTTATTGTGGAGTATTTCCAAATTCCTTTATTTTTACCAGTGGGGCCTTTTACACTTAGATATGCACAAAAACCACAAAATATGCACAGTAAACAGGGTTTTTGTAACTCAGACCTTCAAATAGGGACTGGATCATTTCAAACTTGTCTAACTTAAACCCTAATAAATAACCTCTGAAAGATATAAAGAAAATGACTGTTTACCAACAATACCCATCAAAGCTGATAGAGTTTGAGAGGATTTGCAGGGAGAAATGACCCAAAAATGGAGGGTAAAACCGGGATAGAGGTAAATTATGTCTGAAAGGTTTTGTAGCGATGACAGAAAGCAATTGGCCATATATATGATAAAACCTACAGTGGCTATGACACAGATAAGCATCTCAAACCAACCAGCAGTCATGGAAACAGTTTATTACCCCAGGTTGTCTCTCAGATGAACAATTAACAGCCCTCTGTCTCTCTCTGATTTAAATTCCACTGATTTACTTTCTACATAGTGTAGATGAGCACGAGACTTCATCAAAAATAAGGCAAAGTATATTAAATATGCCAATCTAAATAAATAGATTTTCTAGATTAAATAAAGGAAAGATTTAAAAAAAAAATACAAGAGAAACCTGAAAGATGTGCCAATTCAACAGAAACACAAACTGAAACTCCTGGTCAGAATAAAATCAGATCAAAAACCAGATGTAAAGATTTGAGAGTTGGGCCTTTTCCATTAGGTCAAAGTCACAGGCTTTGTGTCTAGGCAACCAAATCCAAAACGACTCATGTGATCAGTGAGCTATATCAGTGGGTAATTGTAATTCAGATTATGAATAGTGATACTGAAACAAGATCCCTTGGTGAGATTACCCATAGCTAATGCTGGTGTGACTGAAAGCCTCATTCAAGAGTCTAAAGATCTTAAGGAATTTTCTGCAGGCAGATACAAATGAGGAAATATATGATCTAAATCTTCTCTATAGTAATAGGAGTTTTAAGAGTCTCCAATCTGTAATTACATACTGATGTACAAGACACATAATTGATGGTTACTGTATTTACCATCAAACAGGGTAGAAATTTTAACTTGCACTCCAATTCCACGTCTAAGTAAATTATTATTTTGTAAACAGAAGCCATCCTCAACACAAGCTGCCCATTGATAGAAAATTTGCTGGTAGTAAACCAATGTACCGCTTCCTCATTTTGGAAAATTACTGTTTTGGCAGCTGTACAACATCCCATGGCTAACCATTACTGGCAGGACAAAATGTATTTAAATCTTATCTAGTGATTAATGTTATCTAAACTAATAATGAACTGACATCTGCAGTGTTCCAGAAAAGCATGTCTTTGAGACACTGGCATGAACATTAGCGCAGATAGCAGAACACCCTGTTTCTGAACCATCTGCTGTTATAAAACCTACCAAATGTTTGGAAAACATACGGTGATTTTAAATGTATTTTACTTGAACATTTTAAAAGTTGGTCACATTACAACCACAAACGTCAACATATTAAACTCCAACTGGTTTTATTTATGCCAAATCGAGAAAGTTTGTAGCAGACTGGATGGAGAGCATCTATGATCATCTATTTTAAAGTCTTACAGATTCTCAGTTGGATTTAGGCCTGGACTTTGCCTGGCCCATTCTAACACATAATTGTAACTTGATTGAATTTGATCCATTGTAGCTCTTGTTATATGTTGACGGTTGTTGTGCAGCTGAAAGGTAAAAATCCAGACTCAACTCTTTTGAAGCCTCTAGCAGGGTTCATAATTGCCCTGTACTTAGATGCATCTGTCTTCCTAACAACTTCCTTGTCCTTGCAGAAGTAAAGCACCCTCACAGCATGATGCTGCCAACACTAAATTTCAACATTGGGATTTTGTTTTCAGAGTTCTGTAGAGTATTACTTTTCCACCTCACAGTGTTTTTGGATAAAAAGTAAAATTTTAGTCAGAGCACAATGAGGATTGCAGTTATATTGTGATAAAATGTGAAAAGTTCAAGTGGTATGAATACTTTTGTGAAGCATCTGAAGCAACCTAAAATAATTTAGGAAACTGAAACACTAAGGCTGAGCCAAAACACTTCATTCATGTACCAACACAAGGCAAAAAAAAAAACAAACAAAAAAAAACAAAACAGTTTTTCAGCTACTTAAAATATATGACATTACATAAACGTATCAACTTTAATCCTTAATCAGTACCATAACTTAACCAAACGACAGAAAAGTCAAGTAAATCAAAGTAAATAAAAACTTATAGTATTTGGCAACACCAGCTATTTTCAGAAATTACTTCATAAACAAACACGTCTGGTAATAATCTATCCTCAGCTTGTCAGGACATACATGGGGGTTAAGATCTCAACAAAAACATTTTCAGCATCAGCCCACGCACACGGATGTATTCCATTTTACTAAATGTGTTTCAATAGAAAACAGCAATCAGTTCCTCACCTATATTTGCTTAGATAGGAAGGCATTGCTATAAAGCCCACAGTTGACACTTTGGACGTTAGACATTACATCATCCACTTAAGTAGAAAGTTCTTAAATATAGCTCAGCAAATTTATTTTCTCGCTTATTCTCAGATGTGACAGATTTGTTCCTTTTCTTTCCCCCACTGTGAAAATGTTTTCCCATACTGGCATCTCCTTAAAAAGTATCCTGGGACTCGGGGAGGGACCGAATAAAGCTGTCCACTAAATTCTTCTAACTGGGGTATTCGCAAGTCTCTATTCCAGTCTATGGCCTACGTTCTGGCACTTTGCCGAAAATGGAGCCAGTAACATAGCCTCCAGTCAGACTTTGGTGACGGCCAAGCTCTAAGGGGGCCCGGATGATTGGACAGACCCCTGGCCTACTAAAGTGTACTCTCTTCCTTAACACAGACGCATTAGGAAGAACTTGTTCAGGTAGATGAAATTTACCCTTTCAGTATGTGTCTTTATGTTGGATGCAATACACAGTTTGTACAGCATGTTTATGTGAGATTGTGCAATATATGAACTGTGAAAGAGGGAAGCAGGCCTAATAGGAAGACTGCCGGGTCACTCAAGCCTATTGTGTAATTGACCAGTGAAAATGTGTGTGTGAAAAGTGTTTGCATGTGTGGGGAGGAAATAATTATCTGAAAAGGACCGGAGAAGCAGCAGGCACATTCTCTTGCTGCTCAACAGAGATGTCGCTTGCAGTGTAGTGTTTTTCTTCACTTGTAAAATTCAAAGATAACTTTTAATGAGAAAAAAGTCCTTATTAAAACCTGTTATTACAGTCTACAGAAAACTATGGCTGCGTTTAACATAAAATTAAAACATGGCATCCAAAGACTGTTTTTTTAGATAGGTCTAGAAAGTAAAATCACAAATGCCTATGTTGAAGAACTAAACCAACGCTTAATGCAATGCGTTTTATGGGAATAGACCAACACAAAGTAATACATAGCTATACACCATAGGATAGACAAAAGAAGGGGCCAAGAGGCCCAAGGTAGCTCCAGAGATTCACAGTTCAGGTGGGAGAATCTCTTCATAGGACAACTATTAGTCATGCATTCCACAAAGCTGGCCTATATGGAAGAGTGGGAAGAGAAAGAAATAATAAATTCATAAGAGGTCCCATCTGCAGTTTGTCAAAAGTCATGTAAGGGACGCATCAAACACATGGTTAATGGAGTCTGGTCAGATGTTGAAGTTTTTGGCCTACATGCAAAACACTACAGGCGCTTTTCCACTTGAGGTTCGGTCTCCGTTCGCACCAGCCAGATTTGTTTCCATTAGCAGAACCAGCCCGGCTCAGCCTGTTTACAGATTGTTGTGCATCCGAGTACTAGGTGGGAGCGATCTGATTTACAGCTGATCACATTTATTGATTGGCTCGTGAGTACCACACAGCAAACTCCTAACAACATTTCTCATATATTTTAGCAGTGGACCACTGACACGCCGACTGCTATCAGAGAGCCATTCAGTTTGAAGGAGTGTAATTATATGAGTTTAATCATGAGCAGCACCAGCGTACTTCTGCAAAGTACTAACCTGAGGACGAAGCGGGTAACTGGAACAGCACATGATACTTTTTAGATTGTCATTTGTAAAAACATTTGGAAAGGGGTAATTTAGTTTCTTTTTGCAAATATGTGCAATGTTGTAACTAGAAAATGGGAAAAAGTTCAAATAGAAAAAATACTGATGTGAAAACTTTCACAAACAAATTTGAACAATAATCATTATTCTACCAACTCAATTTGGTTTTCAACCCAGACTGGGATGAAAACCAACTTTCACACTGTGTTTAACTTTAAAGGTTTTAAAGTTTCCATAAAGTGCAAAACTGTGAATAATACTTACGTTTTATGCAGCGGTTGGTTCCTGGAGCCACTGCCCAACCAGAGCAGCACTGCTGACCTCCACAGACATTTGGCCTGAAAGCACATGTACAAAAAACAGAGTGACTTAAAAGTTTGATGGTATTTAAGAAATGTATCCCCTTACACGCTTTATAATTCATCTACTTTCTTTAATGCAAAGTTGATTTTGTGCAAGATTGTTGGGGCAGCAGTCCCACTCTTCAGCAGAAAATGAAAAAACGGGTGGGGTACACTATAGAGAGGTCACCAGTCCATCAGAGAGACAAACAAGTAGAACAACCATGCATACATTCTTACCTAAGAACAATTTACTATCTTCAATTAAATGAACATGCATGAAATCTAGGCATGCACAGGAAGAACATTGCTATCTCCAGGCAGAAAGGCCCCAGACTGGATCTTCTTGCTGTGAGGCAACAGAGTCAAAGGATAACTGAGTTAGTGAGGATTCTAACAAAAAAATGTCTCTTTAATAATGATGTACTTTCTAATCCTTCTGGTATGACTGGCCTGCAGCTATAACACTTTTGAGAATAAGCTGTACCAAACTTCTTTTTTTTAATCAATATTTCAGAAATCCCTGTCTTACTGTGGACCAACAAGGTCCTGTTCTATTAGATGAGAATCCAAAGTGAACACAAACAGTGTTATTTGAACCTTGCAGGGATTATCTGAGACACGCGGGACATGAAAAACACCTCGCATTTTCTATAAATCACTCAGCAAATGAGAGATGGCAAGTTTTAAACAGTCTGAACTGGATTCTTTGCACTCTCTAATCCACACCTGTAGCCCAGGCCAAATTTTTGTAGCAAGGCAGATTAAAAAGGCACCAGACCGCAAAAGCAACTCCAGAGCAGCAGTTAACGTGCTGAGATGGATCTGCGCCCCATCATCCTTTCACAAGATATTACAGTAAGTGGATGTCTGACTCATGGTGATTTGAGAAGATAACAGGGATTGACTCGTTGACCTCAGATGGATTGCGCTTATTAGATGCTGCAAGTGTTTCTGAGGCGTCACGGGGATAACATGCAGTCGTTTGGGCCCTCTGGCAAGCTCAGCTTTGTCATTAATCAAGCACATCAGGCCAAGCTCGTGCCAAAGATATCAGTCATCACATTCAAATTCCATCAAGGGATTTCTGTATGTAATAGAGACGCTAATGCAACAATACTACTAGGCTCCATGGAACAATATGTATAGGCAGTTACACCTATTCTATACTTGATGTGGAGGGCTATCCGAAGCAACCTGAAATCTGTAATGTGCACTGAGAGAAAAAAAAAAAAAAAAAACATGAGTCCAACTGAGTCAACTTGGATGTGATTAAGAGTTAAGTGTACCCAGATCTGCCAGAGTATGAAATCCAGTAAACAGGAGAATTGGAGTGGGAATTCCAAGAGGAAATGTGTCACATATTCACTTTTGCTAACCGGCTGCAGATGATTCATCTGAAAACGCTTGAATAAGAACCATAAAACTCACCGTGCAGACTACTTTAAGGCAGTGTTTCCCAGATTTATGTAACACTTCTTTTATGGTTCCCAGGACTAAAGGAAACCCGTTCATTCTATGTATTTTTGAGGAGAAAATCAAGCAAAGCACTTACCATGTGCTTTTTTTTTTTGAGAAATCTAATACTGAGGCTGGGTATTTTACTTTGCACAGAGATTGAATAGACAGATAATTCAAGTATGCCTCATTGTAATTAGAGTTCAAGAAGGTTGTCCTTATTGGCTGTGTTGGAATATAAATAACTTTAATTCACACTATAGAACCTATGGTTCACACATAGATTCATATCTAACATGAATTGAGCTTGTGATGATACAGTTCTTTTTGAGGGGGTGGTATTACTATAAAATGACCAACTTCAGTGAAGGTTAAACACAGGAAATGGGTGGATTCATTTGAACTTTTGGTGGATTTTCTCTGATTTGAAGAGACTCAAAGTGACACATGCTGGCTCAAGTGTTTACAGTGGAGTGAAAAATGGTTTGCCCTCTGATAATCTGTAAGAGTACAAACCATTTCCTTCTGACTTTGCTTTGCAATAACACTTAAATGTTTCAAACTATCGACATAATTTTGCTATCAAGTGAAGAATACCTGCGTAACTACAGAAAGCAGTTTATTAATGGAAAAAAAGCTGTTTTATTTTTTCAATTAGCCTGATTTGGTGAAAAAGTAATCACCCAAAAACTGAATTATGGTTTTGCTTTAATTAACCACATTTTTTAGACAGCTGCAATCAACTTCAGTAGCCATACCTACACCTAATTATCCCAATTAATCAAGAAATCATGTATAGAAGCTGTGTGACATCATAAAGTACACAAAAGAAACTCAAGAGGCCACATAATGTGATCTGATCTATCGAAATTAGAGAACAGAGGAGACGGGAATCAAAGTCACTGACATCAATCAGTCTGGAGCAAACTGATTGTCTGTTCCACACTGGATAAACATCTATCAGTCCACCATATGTGGATGAGGCAAAATTTCCAATAAATCCACAATGCAAGCTTGTGTATCCAAGCCTTGTTTTAAAAAATATAAACCACTAGCCTCATCTCAGTGTTGTTGACTCCAGTTAACCACGATGAGAGCTATTATCCTCAACAGAGAAAACAAGGAACAGTGGTGAACCTCCCAAGAGGTGGTCACCCCACCACAATTAATGCAAGAGCTCAACAATGACTCAATCGGGAGGTCACAAAATAACCCAGAACGACATTAAAGACAGAGGATAAAGTAGTATGTGTGGGAAAAATACTGATTAGCGAAGAATTGCAAACCAAAAAAGAGAACAGTTTGATTATCTCATTAAGAGTTGGGGGAAGATATTCTGTGGACTGATGAGAAGAAAGTGGAGGTTTTAGGAAGATGAGGGTCTTGTTATAGAGTCAGGTTTGGTGTAAAATTAACAAAGCATTCCAGAAAAAAATTCATACCAACAGTGAAACATGCTGGTGGTATTGTGATGATCTGAGGCTGATTTGCTGTGTCAGCACGTGGATGAATTGACATTCTCTAGCAGAAAGATCTGATGGAGAATGTCCACCATCAGTTTGTTAACCTGAGGTCAGCTCACTTGGGTTATTCAACAAGAAAATTATCCAAAAGAGGATTAGGATTTAAATCCGATAGACATCCTGTGCCGTGACGTTGAAAAAAAAAACAACAAAAAAAAACGTCAGTATTGTTGAATGAAAGTAATTCTGCAGAAACAAACAAAAAAAAAAAAAAAAATCTGCCAGAATTGTAACTGAAGTGTGTCGAGGTTGAGAGAAAGTTTGTGTTGCAAACTTTCAGGGTTGCGTCAAAGTTGCAGGACAGTAGCTCTCCAGGGCTGGACTTGGGCATCCCTGATTAAGACCATATGTGGATGAGGCAAAATCCACAATAAATCCATAATGCAAGCTTGTCCATTCAAATCTAGTTTTAAAATTATTTAGGTCAAATGTTATCATCCAAGTTATCCGGTCCCTGCGTAAAAATAAAACACAGAGATAAACGCAACATTATGCAAACCACATTTTTTAAAGTAAGGAGCTGCGTCTGTCAAGGTTTAGCTTGAAACCAAGCATGATGTTCATGTTTCTCCTAACCTATTATCTGAATCCTCCTGCTTGCTGTTAAAATAAACCTTCGATAAGCTAGTCACATAGACAGTTTCCTCAACCCAAAAACAGCTCTGTAATGAAACATTTATACTTCACTGTCTGCAGCCTAAGGTGAGCCATTATAATCCCGCTCTGATTATTATATAAATATTCACCATCTAGTTGAGTTCAAGCCATGTCCCTGTGGAGCATGGAGGAGAGGATACAGAAGGCTTCATTTAACAAAATGAAAAGTGCTCCATTGTGGAAACAACCCATCATCCTTTTAGAGTTAAGCAGAAACCAAAAAAGAAAGAGCCACTGGAGAAACAGGTGTTTCTGATCATGGTGCAAATTTGCAAATGCTCATGAGCCAAAACTCTGGCTGAGCAACTATAATAAATGGTCACAGCAAGAACACAGAACGGAGGCCCACAGACTACAGTAGTGCTGCTGCTCTACTGCTGTGATTGATGTAAATATATCGTAAGGTGTAGTAATGGCAGTGTGATAATCCCATGTCAAACAGCACAAACACACATGATCCATTTATCTTCACACTGATAGCTGGTAGAAAATTGCCATCACCCTGCATCTCAGTGTGGTGTTCAAGTTACACTGTGGAAAACAAGAAGGTTCTGCAAAGGATAGTGAGGGAATATAGACACTCCTTACAACCATAAACTGCACTACCACTACATAAACATATTAAAATACTGCCTTAAACATATTAAGGCAGTATTTCCTGCCTTAAACATATTAAAATACTGATCTGCTCTTAATATTATGCAGAGATATATTTCAAGCATTTATTTCTGTTCATTTTGATGATCTTATGATTCAGTTTCTCTTAAAATGTAACAATTTATTACCGAAATGTCTTCCTCCTGAAATATATGCCCATGTACTGTTCAGTATACGCACCCAATAATTGCTACACTCATTTTGGATGAATTACTGGAGCGGTGCTTTGGGGCATTTGAGTGATCAGTTAGTGGTTCTGTTGAAAACCTAAGGAAGGCCAAGTTCTATAATAACATCCATTAGCTTCTCTGAATTGATTGGTCTGGTGTCTGGCATTTTGCTCGTGACAACGCCACATAAACTCCCTGTGGGACTTGTAAAATGTACTCCCATTTGAAAGCAGAAGAACAATCTTCTTTTCTCCCGAATCCAGTTGAGAAACTTCTGACAATATCATGTGACTTAATACAAGGAGTGCTACAGATGGCCCATGTCTTGGCTACGTTGTGAGTGGTGACTCTGGAAGCAATGACTCCAGATGCAGTCCACGCCTTGTAAATCTCCTGTTGAATGGGCCTTGTTTGACAGTTCTCTCATTGTTGAGGGTTTTCCTATTGACTGTGCATCTTTTTACTACCATATTTTTTCCTACCATTAAACGTACTCGTATTCCTGGATATGACTCTATGAAGAGCCAGTTTTGTCAGCAATGACTCGATTCTCCTTATGCAGGGCAGCAATGACTGTTGAAAAACTGTCAAGTCAGCGGTATTCCCCATGACTGTCTATTCATTTATTTTTTGGCATTTTATTGTATTTTGTATGTCAAAGACACTATAATCTGGGTTTTTACCAGACATATTCCGAAATCATCTAGATTGACAGAAGTGCATACTTGAGATATATCACTGTGTGAAATCTATATGTGCGTTTCTGACTTGCTGAAATAAATGGACTTTTCACATTTCAATCATTTGGAAGGACATTGTATTAGCACACAATGAAATTACAATGAATTGTTTTGATTTGACTCCATAGCTAAATTCTCAGCAAAGCTGCAATATACTGAAGAGCATATACACAAAACTTCGTAGCTCTTGTTACATCATTTGCTGGTTTCCATTACTGGAAGAAAAAATCTGCAAAAGCGGGCCACAACCGCAGTGCAATAAACCACAGGGACTCATGCTTGCTAGAGTAAAATAGGTCACTCAAATTCCTGCTCCTGCTGCTCCGCATGGCTTGAAAAACAAAATGTTTGGGTGTTTATTATGGAGCAGAAAGCCGTCACTCTTACCCAGCCAGTCGTCTTGTGCTGGAGGAGCCGGGCTTGCTGCTTTGCCTGCGGTTCACTCTGCTCGTTCGCGGGTGTCTGGCTGTGCGCTGTGCTCTGTCGTGCGACGATGAGACGAAGTCTTCTCCGGATGCGCCAGCAGCGTGAACAGTTTCACCTCTGGATGCTGACGCTCCCCTGGACATGCGGTGCAGAGTTGTCGACTGGCCGGTGGTAGGTGTTTTCGAGAGGTCCAGAGCTTCTTTGGGAGAGTGTCCCTGACTGATCTGCTGGTCGGGGACCACCTGGCTTGCCCCGGTCCTCCCACCTGTTGCCTCCTGGTGACCGTCACCAACCCGCATGAGAGCAATACTTAAAACCATTAAAACAGCTAATCCGGTGCGCTCCATTTCGGTCATGCAAAGTCTTAAAAGTAGCGCGCAAAATGTCGCAGATCGCGTTACAGTTTTTATCAAGCCAAAAAAATATAAGCAATTTTTTTTTTTTTTTTTTTTTACAAAACAAGCATCCTCTCCCAGCAGTGAAAGACGCCTGGATACCTTTTCATAATGCCCAGGTAACACTCATACAGAATGTCTTCAGGTTCTCAAATCACCTCCTGAAATCTGTCCAAGGGTAGAAAAAAAAATCTCCAGAATTTTTATTATTATTATTATTATTATAATTATTATTATTTTAAGCATACATTATTCAATCTGCTTTAGTTTATGCTTAAGAGGAAAAGTAGCGCAGAGAGAGCAGCGGCTGAAAGGCTGCTGAAGCTGTGCTCCAAGTGAGAGTTTGAACCGTGCTCCCATGGATATCACCTCCTCCTTGGATCTGAAGTCACTGGGAATTTTTTGCAGGGGATTGCATGCGCTCCGCAAGAAGTAACACCCCCTTCTGTTGCATCCACACACAAGTCCATGTGGCCACACATTTTTCCCTCTGCCAAGTTACATGATGGGTTTCTTACTGCAACTCTTTTGAACGCAGTTGGAATGAGCGCGGATGCAGCTGCTTCGATCATTACCGTCAATTTATATTTGAACTGACAAACTATTACAATGTCATAAAATTTAAGATTACCACAACTTCCAGATGTTTCCCTGTGAGAGTTTGCGTTTCTGATTGCTGGATTAGTTTTAGTATGGCTGTGGATTTTATGTACAAATGCACCCTGCTGCTATCAGAGGTTTTCTTTTTTTTTTAATATATACCTTTATACTGTATTTTGGTAGCTCGCACAGATCAAACTCTAACCTAAATGTTGGAAAACTGGTCAAGTTATGTAACAGATCACGTTTCCCATCCTCTCTCATCCATGCTGCATCATCATTTTCCCTCTGACTGACTGGAAACAACACATTTCTCCTCTCCCACAAGATCATAAACAGCCTGGAGACAATTGGCATGTTCCTTTCATTTAGCCCACAAAGATGCATGGTTTCCTCTCTTTTTTATCAGATTAAAAACACAAAATGTATCGCATCCATTCATGCTCTTCACTTGAATAAATCCCACAGAGTGGAACTTTCAAGGTGACTTATCCTGAGAAGAATATCTCTAAAAGTAAAATACAAAAAATAAAAAAAATAAAAAAACAGGGTAATGAGGTTGCATTATTCTTGCCTTTGAAAGCAGAATGGTCAGCTAATAATAACAATCTTAATTGCCCCTTAGGGTCTCCCATGACAAATAGGCTCCGGGTGAAGGGTCAGACAAAGAGTGATTCAACATTCCCCATGATAACCGGAAGATGGAGACATCAGACATCACCCAGTACAGTGGAGCCAGGGCCCCGCTCTGGAGCCAGTCCTGGGGCTGGGGTTTGCCATGAGTGGCTGGTAATCTGGCCACTCCTCACGGGGCCAAGCCAATAGGAATGGTGTTAGGCTATCCTCAGTGGGTCTACCACCTGCAGGGATAACCATGAAAGACCGGTGCCAAAAGGATGGGGTGGCAGTCGAACGTGGAGATCTCGGTGACCCAGCCCCTAGACACTTATATTAACACCAATGCATTCTGAAAACAAATTGAAATTTAGTGTGCATAAGCTCAAAATGATACACCTCTGACCTGGACAGTAACTGTAGCTTTCCACGCAAGTGTGGATTGACAAATTCAAAGTTTTCACACGCCATTGCTACTTTATTTATTTAAAACAAGTGAGTTTAATTTATTAGCAATGAGCTAAAATTTTGTGTTTTCTGTCAAGCTTTTAGAGATATCAGGTCATGTCATCTGACTTTTAAGAAATACTTCTTCTATTCACTTGGGATTAATTAATTGTTGGATCCATCCATTCATCCATTGTTTTCCTCTTATTCTCATATCGGACATGTCCAGTTCTGGAGACCCGAGCATCCCTTTCCACACCAGCACTTTCCAGCTCATTCTGGAAGATCCCTAGGTGATAAGTGAAGGAGACTCTTAAGGTCTGAGATGGATGAACAGTCATATTAAGAACAACATTCAACAGGAAGATTTATGTTTTCCGGCCCTGAGAATATTTCATTACAATAATCAGAACTTTGGTGTTAACATCTGTCCAAATAGAAAACCTGTCTACAGTGTGACCCAACAATCGCTTTACAGAAAAGTTTTAGGCTTTCTTTTGTATTGGGGCGATATGTTGAGCAATTGTGGCCCTTATCATGCCACAGAGCACTTTGGAGTCCATTAATAAAACATGATAAAAAGTTGAGACCTTACTTTGGAGGAGCAGTGGAGATCAAGAGCTTAAGTGGGGGAGTCTGTCCTTAGGATAGATATTTTTTGTGTACTCTACAAATCAGGAAATCTAATTTGAGCTGATAGTTTGAGAAGGACAATCCTGGAAGGCAAGACTGTTAGAAACAAGTTTTCTAACAGAGTAATAAAACTGTTAGTATATCACATCAGATCCCAATAAAATACACTAAATTATGTGAAAAGGTTCAAGATTCATCTCAGCTTTTAAGTACTTCTAACAATAACCAATTGTTTGCTTATTTAATTCAACATATTACTTCTAACTCGTGAAAGTATTGGCATAACTTGGAAATCTCCATTCTTCCTTAAACTACCTTAGAGCTATTACAAGCATCCCTAGAAACAAAATCTGACCTTAAAATTAGCTAAAGAAATTACCTGGGAGGAAAATAACTTTGTATCCTTAAATAAGTTTGTTGGGCCAAAGCTCTGGAGAGCTACATCTATGTTCATTCTGAAGGTTTTTGTCCCTTTGATGAGGATTGTTTTGCCAAAGAATGTGATGTATTTGGCAAAGTGAACTTGGGTATTTTCCTGGTCTCAAGTGCAGCTGCAGGGAAACACATGAACAAACATTTAATAACAGTACAGCTTACAAAATCCATTTCTTAAAAACATTGTTGCTCTATGTAGTATTTCACATTTCCACGTTGAGATGAGGATCATTTAAAGGTACTAAAGTTTCTTAGACTAATTAATGCAGCTGGTCGTCAATCCTGACTGTGCTACTGAAAAGCTCAAGAGTTACCTTTCATTCACAAGTACGCCTTTTTTGGGAATCACTAATGATCTGTGACGCAACCATCCATGTTATAAAAATGCATATTAACATAGTCCCAGCTGATACAATTTGCAGCATCTGGAGGAACTTTAGAATAAATGCTAGTTGGATGTCTCTGGCCATGACCAACACTTCTACACAAAGAGGTCTTTGAAAACTCTGGCATGACGACTAAGCCACTCCTATCGTTTTTCAAATGCTGCAGAAATATAAGTGCATTACACCGCACAGTTTCTCACAAGGCAAAGGACTGCGCAGTAACAATAACAAAACTTAAGCTTTAAATTTCTGTGTGTGTGTGTTTGCTACAAAAACAACTAAAGTTGGACTGGGTTTGTGTCCACTGATTATAATACCTTCATTTTTTTATTTTATTAGACAGGTTTCAGTCATTTGATGCAGTGTTTTTGAAGCTGGAACAATCACCACCTGCTTACTTGTCAATATGACTCACATTTACATTCACTCAATCTGGACAAAGTGGCCTATAGTCACTGAGCAGGTAGAAGGTCAGAGTTCGAGCGTATCCATTAGAAAGCCAAACAGTATCAATACAGCCAGAATGTAGGGCTCCTATTATAAGTACAAATCAACAGCACATTTTTAGCCTCACCACCAGAATTTCAAGTGACCTGTGTGAATCAGTCTCTGTGATGACTTTCAATGGAGAGCACCAACAAGGAATGTCAATCCCCTCATTACCTTTTCGCTGTTTGTATCAAAGGCCCTAAGCTCTCCTTTCTTTTTCCTGGAGCTAACATAATGCTGACATTGTTTGTACTAGGCTGGGGGGAAATGTGGAAAAGCAATTACTTTTGGCAGAGATATACTTTGCAAAATGCAAAAGTTATTTGTTTTCTTGTGAGATTTTTTTTTTTTTTCAAGAAAGCTTTTGTTTGGGATGGACAGGCAGACTGCCATGAATTCAAACCTTTCCAAATTATTTTACATAAGAAAATAATAAAAGTGCCTGCATATGTTATATTACCCCCATCTCATACTTTGTTGAACTTGAAGTTGTGGAAGCACAGAGGCGTACAGAGCTCCTTCTCAGCTCTGAACCAATAGTACTTTTTCTACTGGGTAGAACAGGCAGCCTGTTGATTAGTTTGAGCACTGCTGCCACCTAGTGACTGGAGGATTGTTTAAGCCTGAATGAAGAGAGTAATACACCTCTATTTTACAGTCTCAGAACTGCTGAAAACCAGTCCTTTGTCCTATGTTATTTGCTTCTCACAGAGGACCTGGTCTCTTGGCTGTTGAGAAACGATTTAGCCATGGAGGCATGCACTGTGTGGATATTTTAAATTTTACCCAATCGCTAACATTTATCTGTGACACCTGTAAAGCGCCAGTTTGACGATAAGAAGCTTACCAAAAATTACCTGTAAACAATCAGCATCCTCTGCGAAGAGAAAAGTTCTTACGAGGCAGCTGTTAAAGTTAATTCAATTTGGAAGCCTAGACAACACAGGCTAAATGGTTTTGTTCACTTCCTCCACTGCCATTAAAACTACAGCCACACTACAATTCTAAAACAAAACTATCGTTCACAACTTCTCCTTCTGTTCAGTGATTGGTCTGGTCAAAAATTGACCGGAGAAAACCCAAGTCAAGGGAAGAAAGCCCAGACTGTGCTGGAAGAGAGAACTTTTTCAAGCGGAATTGCATAGGAAGGCAATGGACAGGCTAGTAAAGTCTGTATCTGTATTGAGATCAATTCATCATAGATCTAAATATGAATATTTAGAAGATTGTCAAAGTATGAACACATTTTGCAAGCCACTGCAAATTCTAGCATTGCACAGCACTACTAGACACAGAACAAAGCAACAATTAATCTTTCAAACAGAAGAGAGATCCAGAAACTTGTCAAATTCAAACTGGCTTCAGGCGTGCTGGCAACATCTCTGACACATGTCACAACGCTGGCAAAATGTCCACTTTGCACGCCTTTTTAAGGCTAAGAGATCAAGTCACAGTTTTTGGGTGTGAGTTGTTGAATAAAGGCTGTCTTAAAGTTTGAAAACTGTAACGTAGATGAAAGATTTGGAGAATCCTGTATGATGAAGTTAATATTTATGATCAGCGAGAGATGTTTTCCCTCTTTCTCCCTATTTATTACCTCACTCCACTTTAGTTTTTAATTCAGTAACCTTTCACCAACCATTCCCAACACGCATCATCCTCTTCCTCCTGGCTCTGACCTGGCAATAGAGACCCACTGGACATTGTGTCATTTTCATAGGTTCTCAACCAGCCCACTCTGGAAAATTAAGGGTCAAGCATTTTCCACATTAGCAGCTTCACCAGGAGGACAGAAATTGATATATGCAGCAATTACTCTTCCTCCCACAAAACCACCACGGACAAACTAATTGCCAAACACACATTATATCCAAAAATTGATGACTGTCTTAAGCATTCTTTCATAAGAGACAGCAATATTAATGCCAAGTAAGCATTAGAAGCTGTAATTTAAAAATTGGGGCAAAGGTGGGACAGTCACTAAAGAATTTTATGCAAGGCTTCTGGCACAAAACATCGCTACACAGTTATTCATTTATTATGTATAAAATCTCTACCATAACTCAACCATACAGTGTCTTATTTTAAACAAGATTTTTAGGATTCGGAACAGTCTCCGCTGGATTAATTTTTTTTTAGTTATGCAGCATCCAATAAATATAGTAATTACTAAAGGAGTGCCACAATTTATATGTAGATGCATTATTTATGCGTTTTTAAAATTATTTTGTTTTCACATTCAAAATAGAATGACTTTAATAAAACAAAAAGCTCAATGAACATTTAATAGTGTGGAATGTGCAGAGCTTTTTTCCTTGTTTGATTTTTAAGTCAGCCACCCACCCACTCTGCCCACATACCCCACCAAGCAGGGATTTGCTAAAGAGCCAGTTGTTTTGCTATTAGTCTGCAGACAGTTGAGCAACACAGATTTTGGTGTGTGATTCTTTTGCTACTTCTGGGAACAGTTGAGGGATGAACCTCATTTGAGAAATGACTCACCACTGACACGTGCGTCTTTGAAATGGCAATGCCACTTGGTATGTAGCTGAATCAAAGTGATTCCTAGTAGTGTTTTTAACTTAGTTTTTACCAGCCAGCATTGCTCATGCAGTGGCTTTCACTCTCTTCTGCTCCCACTGCACTAAACTCGAACAGGGAATCATGTGCTCTCTTTAGCAACAGCTTTAAGAATAAATAATCTTCTTCACTTCCTCCAATTAACTGTGAAGATCAAGTGCCCAGACAGTTTTGATGTGATTTAACCATCCACATGAGGTCAATTTAACCTGAATTGCTTTATATTAAGCATGATAAATTTGTTATTTTTCATTCCATTAAACATTTTCTTATAGACCATTTAATCAGAACAGACCCCCTTGGCCTGTTTTATTTAACAAGCAAATATTAACCAAAATAAACCTAGAAAGTCAGAAAAATAGTTGAGACGACTTCAAGGTTTGTTTGTTTTCTTTTTTTTTTTTTCCCCAACATACTTGAACTAAATATCCATCCCCAACTTTGGGTGGGCATTCTGCCAAGCACAGAGGTCAATGAGGTAAAGCAGCAGCATCATGCTTCAAGTAAAATTAATTTTGCCAATGAAACTGTTAGCATGGCATACAAGAAATAGTAATAAAGAGAAGATTAATAGGTAAGGAGGACGTCTCTTTGACAATTATGACCTGCTTGAAAGAGCCCCAAGGGCAGACAGAAGCTAAGGCCTCCTACAGATGTTGGAGAAAACAGTCCCATTCATCATGACATTTTTGTTGGAATCTCTTTGAACTGCTCTTACATTTTGTGTATCATTTATCTCCAGCAAAAACGGATAAATTATTGACAG